TTTTACGTTATCATTCAAACATATATTCATCAGTGAACTGGGCCTTAAAATGCACATGGTCAACTACATGTATGAAGATTGGTTTCTGTATTACACTTCTACCCAAATTCATATATAAACTCTTCTGAGCTCAGCAGCTGATGATGAGGAAAGCGATTACATATATTCCTACTACTCCAACACTGCTTACACGATACAGTGTGAGAAACTATGTACCACTCGTGTTGCAATTTCCCAAATTTTCTACCATACGTAAAATTTATCGATAAACTTCTAATTGAGTTTTCCAATATTACATTCACCGCTTCCTCAACAGCATCTTCCGGATGGGCTTTAGCAGAAACACGACATCCCATTTTCGATGATCAAAACATAATCAACAACTGCAGCAACTAACTCGGTAAGTGATGTACGAGTATCGGCTGAGCTTGCTCAGCCCCCACGCCACGTTGAGGCGCCAAGACCTGTGGGTGGCGTCGTTTTTCAAATGGCAAACCTCAAGTCGAGCGATTGATGAGGATAGCGCGCGCCCAAGTAATCGATTATGGAAAGCCCGGCTGTGGCGTGCGCTACTATGAGCCTATCTTTTCATATCTGTATCAACCGTCTCCCCTCCAAGGAACCGTAAAACGCGATATGAAGTGGCGAATTGAAAACACTTTGCGAATTACACCACGCAAGACACATACCACGTGTTTTACGCGTTAGCTTATATGCGTTTCACGTGAAGTATATATTTTTCACTAGTGTTTTTCATATCACTAGGGTCAAGAAACCCCATTGATCCGATATCATCTCATTCGGCATGAAGTGAAGAATAGCAAGGACAGCTAGATGATGATATCTGATTATACTTATCGTCGTGTTCTTGCGCCTTGTTTCGGCTATGCCTTAGCGCTAGTTGTATGACGTACCAGTCATCACTGTATTGGAGTAGTTGCGGTTCACTATATTCGCTTACTATCGTACTTCGGCAGTGCGATTCCAGGTGATTGTTGGGTCTTTTGTTTACTCGATAAAATTTGCACAGTACTGTCCTTGCCATTTCTCACTGTAAAGATCCGTATATATACTCTCTCGCCAAGAGTAAAACCGTTGCAGTGTAGAAGATGGCATGTAATAACAAACTAAGATTACACTTTGCATCCACACTCATGCGGAATTGTGTTCTCGTTCATCATGGCCGATGCTGATCAGCACAGTACGTGAAGTTTCGTCACGTGAGTTTTCCATGAAGTCTACTATTCAGATGAGTTCACTTCAAAGTAGATTTCCAAGTAGGTCTCCCTCAAAACTCAACAAACTTAATAACGAATGGTTTCAGAAACCGTGTATCGACGGCGCGAAAACAGGTTGAATCTGAAATTGATACCCAATGTATAGATAACATACACAACATACACTGGAGTTTCACGACTACCCGTTTTACGTAAAGTGGTGAAAAACGCGATATTCGCGGTGATATGCAGTAGTCGTGAAATATGTTTTCCACATTACTAGGGTCCAGTCCCCCAAAATCTTCGCAGTGCGTAAAGATTCCTCTCACACTTCAGAGGCCTTTATTATATTGAAGATCACCATGGCCCTGCAAACTGGGCTCGAGTGAGTCTTCCGAGATGATGCCAGTCTGTGGAAACGCTGCTATACTCGCGGGCAACCCGAACCCGAATGATAGCAGTAGCACCTACAGTGTGAACCACACCGTTATGCGAATTAATATAATCAACGACTTCGAAAGTCAACATATGGATCGGTTGACACCAACGTTTTAGAAGCGTTTCGTAGTCTATATTCGTATTACTCGCAAACTAGAGAAAGCCATCTCGAAAATCTACATATGTGAAGGTGTGGAAAAATATACATATGGTCAACTACATGTGTTGGTGACGATATAAATTTCTGAGAAAATTTCGGAAAATTTCGGAAAATTTTGGTTGATTTTTGTACAAATTCCTGAGCTCAGCTGAGGCAACCAAACTCATATTTCAACACTGTATAGTTCATCTGCCAGTGTTGCAGTAGTATAAATATGTGTTTGCTTTCCTCATCAGCTGAGCTCAGGCGTTTCCTCACCACATATTCAGAGTAGAAGTATCAACGAAAATTTCTCCTTAAAATTTCCTCAGAATTTATCTCTTGTCATCACCAACCAGTTAATCGTGCGCAAAATTTCTGCATTAGAGTTTCACGATGATCCGTTTAACGTGAAGTGGGGTAATACTCCATGTAAACTGTAAGACGTATATCTTTCCGGGACCGCCGATAACACAATTTTTTCTACCAAGTGAAATGTGAAATATGTTTTTCATTAGTGCTTTTCATATCTCAGCTGAAATTCCACTTTTAAACGCATTCGCATGATATTTTCCGAACATGCGCATATTTTGTAAATTTTTTTATACATTTTTCCCAAATATTCTCCGAAAATGCGAATATTTTGTAAATTTTTTTATACATATTTCCCAAATATTTTCCGAATTTTCTCACCATAGTAGACAAAGGCAATGCCATGCTCGGATAGGCCCCGCAAAACCGTTGTATCGGCGGTAAGGTCATAAACGCCGGGGGCACGCCAAACACGGGTAATTGCAGTAGCATTCTCGACGCCACAACCTGTGAGTAAAAAATTCCGATATCGGACTAATTCACCCAATAAACTAACCTCTTTTAGTGCTTTTTTAGCAGCATTTTTACTAGTGCCAACTTCCTCGTTGGTGCCTTTCTTATATACCGTAATTCCACTGTCAAGCTCCGAATGACGCATGATAAAACAGTTTGCTGATGACGCCACCTAAAACGGTGGGAATTCACTGGGTAAATTATACCCGTCGTTTTAGAATGAGTAACTTTTACACTTTCACCCACCATTGAGGCTGGTGTACTAACAACGTATAATAAAACAATTCGCAGACGACGCCACCTTAAACGGTGGCGATTAACTGGGTAAACTGTACCCACTGTTTTAGGTTGAGTAAATTTTACCCACCGTTTTAGGTTGAGTAAATTTTTCACGTTCACTCACCATCGAGGCTGGCAAACCAACCCACCGTAAAACCACTGTTGCTCTCGCTGGTGACAGTCGCTTCTTAACAACCTAAACGTGCGGGACAATACGCACTTATTAATGTTCTAGTTATAATACTTTTACCATTTGAATTTTCATATAAAATGTGATGCACTGCTGTTTCACCCGTGAAATGAAAAACATATTTCACATTTCACTGCGCGGAAAACGCGTAAAAAACACAACTGATATATCGGAATTTCACCCTAGTGATATGAAAACACTATGAAATTTATTTCACGACTACTGCATATCACCGCGAATATCGCGTTTTTCGCCGAGTTTTATGGTTGTGAAACTTCATTGTGCAATAATCGCTACAACTACCTCTTCAGATGATGATAAACCTGTTATTATCCAATTTTATTATAATACACTAGCCCTTCGGAACGAACTCAACGGGGATCAAACTGTGGCACCTCCCTCCCTCAGCTACTTCGTACCACACGCTGCTACAGTTTCGGCCGGTTGAGAGTAATTGAATATTTTTCGCAGAATATATAAATTTCACTATTCTCGAGAGCTCCACTGGTGTAGTTGTGGAGAAATGATTAAATGAATTCACCAAGTGAAACTCACAAGAAAAAATTTTATACTTCTTGTACAGAAATAATACTAACATAGCTTCGCTCCGCCTCGCAATAAAAATTAATTTCCAAACACACAAACATTCTTCCCTTTTTCTTACACTCGACAGTCCATATGCAATAGCGATGGCGCTACCAACCGCGCCGAGATAGCTCCATGTTAGCGTTTTATCATCAACCGGTGATGATGCGTTTCTATTGAAGTAGTTGACAAAGGCATTCTGAGACTGGTTCACCCAGTGCCTGGAAGAGGGCGCTCTGCAGTTTTCCAATAAAATATGAAACTACATTTATGGAAATTCTGAGGAAAATTAAAGAGATATTTGATATTGGTAGCATTATAGTTTTAAAGCTAAACTAAAGATAAATTTCTTGAAAATTCTGAGAGGAAATTCTTATTGGTTTCTGTATTACACTTCTACCCAAATTCATATATAAACTCTTCTGAGCTCAGCAGCTGATGAGGAAAGCGATTACATATATTCCTACTACTCCAACACTGATGGGAAGTAGTAGTAACAGTTTGTGATAATATTAAAATTCTGAGAGGAAATTCTTATTGGTTTCTGTATTACACTTCTACCCAAATTCATATATAAACTCTTCTGAGCTCAGCAGCAGCTGATGAGGAAAGCGATTACATATATTCCTACTACTCCAACACTGATGGGAAGTAGTAGTAACAGTTTGTGATAATATTAAAATTCTGAGAGGAAATTCTTATTGGTTTCTGTATTACACTTCTACCCAAATTCATATATAAACTCTTCTGAGCTCAGCAGCTGATGATGAGGAAAGCGATTACATATATTCCTACTACTCCAACACCTTTCCATTACTACCAAAATACAATCGCTGGTGTAGACTTTGCCATAACAGCTCCAACACAAACAGGCCCATTGAAGGGGACGTAGCCGCTCATGCGAAATGGTGCCGGGATCAGCTCACCAGTATCAGGGTGAATCTGTGAAAAAAAACTATTCATTGGATTTTACGTGAAGTGGCGTCGTAATACTCTGTGAAAAAGGCGATATGCAGTAGTCGTGAAATATGTTTTTGCGGAACTCCATTGTAAAATTAAATATATATATTCACATAAAATTTTTGGGGAAAATTGTCGGAAGTAAACCCGTAGTGAATCTGGCAAGCACACATACGTAAAAATGAACTTCTGAATTTGGCAGGTAAACTTGATATCATAGCAATTGTGAATAGTCAACCACATATGTTGGTGACAATATGAAAATTATGAGAGGAAATCTTCATTGGTAAGTTAACTTTTTTATCCGAATTTATATTTAAACTCCTTTGCTCAGCTGAGCGGACATATACTCCAGCACTGATACACAGCGTTCACCACTAGAGTTTCACCCGTAATACGAACATAACACTAATGAAAAATATATTTCACATTTCACTTGAGCAGGGAATAACGCGTAAAACGTGTTTTACGTAAAATAGGGTGATCTGTCCGGTGTAATTCGGCAAGTAAATTTCAAAAAACGTCCTATCACCGCGAATATCACGTTTTTCACACCACGTAAAACGAATAGTTGTGAAACTTCCCTTCGAATGAACATAGCAAATCTGAATTTCCGCGGAAACATAAAATTACCGTCGCCGCAAACTTATCTATAAAATTCTTTTTGGTGAAACTGTTACGATATTTTTCAGAATCGATAAAAATATTTTTTTCCGTAAAATTTCCACATTTCATGTTACCGCCGATTCCTTCAGTTTTCGAGCCTTCCAAAGTTGTTCGTCAGTGAGTTTACTATTTCCATTCTGGAAATCATGCAAGGCGTTACGAGCCTCGTATATTTCTCTAGTGCTGATCAAAAACACATGAGGAAATGAATAAAAAAACGAATCGCTTCATCAACGTCAAAGTTATATGAAAAACATATTTCACGACTACTGCATATCCAGTGTGGGAATATATGCGCATGGTCAACTACATGTGTTTTTAGGAATATGGGAATTTTGAGGAATTTTTTTGCGAAATTATCGTTGATTTTCGTATACTTATACCCAAAATCGTGTGATTTTTCATAAAATAGTAAGGAAACCAAACATATATTCCCATACTGTGCATATCACCGCGAATATCGCGTTTTTCACTACTTTACGTAAAACGGGCAGTTGTGAAACTCCAATATATATATCACATTCGTGTGTCAGTTTTCTCTACAATAGGAATTTACACAAGACTCTGAGTAGAAGTGCATAAAAAACCTAACAAGAGTCATCCCATGTTATCAACGCGTGAGTATTTCTACTACTATTATAGGAGTAAACGATCCGACGGTTCGAAATTTTCCCAGTAAAAAATAAAAGAAAATTTACAGAAATTTTTCGAAAAAGAATCAAATTTGATTGAACGAAAATTGTAATTTCTCTTTTCCGATAAAAAAAGAGCGAAAAAATATATACAGAAAATTACAAAACGCGAAAAAAAATTTACCGTGAAAAAAATGTTGAAAAAATTCACTCAAAATTTTGTTTTTTTTCAGGAAAATCCATAAAATATGTGTTTCTCGTTAAGGAATGAGAGTTTTGAGTTGAAACTTCAACAGAGATATAAATACGGTTGAGCTCACTGATAGTATTATCACCTGTGTAGTAGGGTAGTAGGATCACACTGATCGAGCATACTCCGGAAACGGCCCCAGTATGTGGTCTGATCGTATCGGCGGTCGGTTAGTGAGAATGGCGGTCTTTCAGAGGAAATCATGCTGCTGAAAATCGACATTGAAAAACTAGGAGAGAAAATTCAATGGAGTTTATTGAAAAATATATTTCACGACTACTGCATATCACCGCGAATATCGCGTTTTTCACTTCACGTAAAACGGGTTATAATAATAGTAGTATTATATAACAGCAGTAAACTGGTGTTGGAGTAGTAGGAATATATGTAATCGCTTTCCTCAGCTGCTGTTGAGCTCAGTAGTATCCAAAACTAATTATACGAATATCGGGTTTTTCACAGAGTATTCGCGCAAAACTCCAATAATAATCTCAATAGAAAACACTCACAGAAAATATTCATAAATGATAATGAAAACGACGCTTCTGCTGCATATTATGCAAATATATCCACGAAACGCAGTAAGTGAACGCCGCACTAAATCCGTGAATTGATAACTACATGCAGTTGCACTAAATCAAATGCGGAGAAATGACAGTTGCAAATTCGAACCGGGAACCTCTTGGATGTAACCTCTTATATATCCACATTGAATAACAAGGTTGATCAAAACTTGCCATTTAGTAGTGTACTGATGATAATAGTAATATTCGTAGTTATTGTTTGCTTGTGCCGTAGTATATACCGTATAATCCTTATATATTAATTCTTCATCCCACTCGTATTGCGTCCCCCTTAACTTAGCTGAGTGAAGCTAAGTTGCATACTCTCACTCGTATGTGGTGGTTTATCGATGATCAATGGAGTTTCACAACTACCCGTTTTACGTCGAACGCGATGTTGGTGAAATATGTTTTTCATATCACTAGGGTGCGTTTTTCACAGAGTATTACGCCATATCGCGTAAAACTTGTGAAACTCCATCAATTTCATATTATCACCGTTGCGATATAGATGCGAATATTACACAGTTGTACTCGAACAGAACTCCCTAGTAGTAAAGTCATATGAGCTGCGCAGCTACGCTAAGTATGAGGTTGAAAGGAAGGGACATTGCCGCGATAACTGCACTCGTAATGCTCACTAGTGGAGTGCATCGTATCGACTTCAGAGCAGTACAGGAATATATGTTTGGTTTTCTTAACTGAGCTCGTGGGTTTCCTCACTATTTATGAAAAATCACACGATTTTGGGTATAAGTATACAAAAATCAACGATAATTTCGCAAAAAATTTCCTCAAAATTTCCGTATTCCTAACAACACATGTAGTTGACCATGTGCATATATTTCCGCACTGCTTTAGAGAATCACAGTTGCGTTGGTGATGGTTTTGCTAGGGTTAATTTCAGAGTTACTTTACCCTCATTTGTTCTATTGTTGTTGTTCGTCACACCCAGCTGCAATGAAGTACTTTGAGCATCGTCATGTATTCAACCATGACTGGGAGACTTGTAATAATAAGGGAGTGCTGAAGAAGATTATATATGCCTCGTTGGAATCATCGGAGTGAATGTTGTGGCACTTTGTTGGATGAATCTCGAATTAATGTGGTATGAAATAAATATATTTTATGGCTATAATATTATTAATAATTTATATATGTAAGAATATAATAATACCATGGAGTTTCTTGACCCTAGTGATATGAAAAACACTAGTGAAGAACATATCTCACGACTACTGCATATCACCGCAAAAAAATCGCGTGATGTTTACGCCACTTCACGTAAAACGGGCAGTCGTGAAAGTCCATTATACCCAATTTGAATATACCAATATATAAGGTCAGATCAACGAAACCATCTGTTGGTGGTATTTCACTTACATGTATGAGTGATGTTGTATGTTGTATCTATATTTGTTTTATTCTTACCGATGTTGCATGAACGGTCGCTCGGGGATAAGAGTGCTGTTTTAGGCACTTCAGCCTGGTGGGCTAAATATCCAAATCCTGATCAGCCTCACGTAAAACGGTTAGACACTGTGTATCGGAATATTGATAAGGATAATCAAGTAAGCTAGTGTTGGTCACGTCCGAGTGAAACAGTGTTGGAATATATTGTTGCTCTGCAGAGCTGGGCTGTAGCATTCCCTCACTGATTATAGAAGCTGTTACACGACTTGAGGCAAAAGTGTACAAAAACCGGTGAATGTTCCAGAAAATTTCTTTAGAATTTTCGTATTGTCACCAACATATTTGGTTGCCCATGTGCATATTTTTCCACATTGGAGCGGAATGTTGAATGGAGTTAACTCTGTGAAAAACTCGTTGTCAATTTGCCTAGCCGCATCCGGATTTCAAGACATTTCGTATGCGGAGTTTACCTGTACTATGTGGAGTACCGTAAATCGCGAGAATCGTGTGTTTGTTGAGGCTTGAATGAACCATTGAACTTTCTATATGAATTCTCCTGTAGATATTACCGTTTAGGTACTTCAAGTTCGTCGTATATTCGCCTTGGATTACCAGATACCCGATATAGTCCAGAAGTTGCTACCCAAAATGCAGGTAGCAGGAATAACTTTTTGGGCTTGTAAATATTTGCGTTGTGTAGGGTTATGCTATGGAGGATACCACAGTTGATCTGAAGAAGAAGAAATTAACTGCTGTTGGACAAAACTGCACATTCAGTAGGCCACTTTCGGACCTGTTTTGAATCTTTATTCGGGGACATGGGCGAATCTTGAGGGCATGATGGAGCATTGCGATTTTGATGATATGGCATATCGGCCCCAGAGCGGGAGAGGCCGGATTATTAATGCTGGAATTGATATATCTTGTGGTGGCATAGCGGCCCCAACAATTGCTCCTACCGCAAACATACCTCTCGATGTTATAGCGGACCCACCAGATGGTGGCATAACGGCCCCACCAGATGGTGGCATAGCGGCCCTATCGCATGATGGCATAGCGGCCCCACCAATTTCTTACTCATATTCAGGTAAGATTTGTCGATCACGAGAAGTGATAACGTATGAAGAGGATCCTAATGATCCATCGTAATAATAATAATGGGGGAGGGTTAATAATAATAATAAACATTCATAACGCGAAAATTGGAAGGGAACACCAGGAAGAGTTCATCTTGTCTTAGGAAAACTATATATACCCAGCGTATGAGCTATTCAATCAGTGGTTTTGGGATGACAGTAGGACGGAGATTGGAGAAAGCCGCAACGGATTTCTCTGCGAAAAAGGCGCAAGCTGGTGAGTTGTTTTGAGGCTCTATTCACCAGTAACATGAGTGTGTTTGAAATTTACGTACCCTTTGTGAGGATGCATGATACAATTATTATCGTATATATAGTATATAAGATCGGTAACTCTAGTATTGATATTACGTTCTATTATAATTTCGTATATGTGTTGGACGCACGGCAGAAGTAATGATACCAGAGTGTTCGAGTAGGAATTTATATATAGTAGTAGATCTCGAGTGATGGATGGAAATATAACAGTTGGAGCAACTGATGAGAAATGGAAGGCCGATAAGGACTGTTAAGCAAGATTAGGGCGTAGTATATTCAAAGGCTCTGTTTGTAATTACAGTGCCGCTTGCACTGTTTCACAAACCTTCAATTCGTCTATAATAGTGCTCCTTTCACCAGGCAGTATAGGAGTATTGCTGTGAACTGAGCAGCTACGAAACGAGCGGTTAAGCCCTGTAAAAGAACGGAAACAAATTCACATGTATATATGTATGAAAAGGTCTCCCCAACCTTCCCGGCAAACCTCAGTTGTCCTATTGGGGAGAGTGTCTATTCCGTTTCGATGGCAATTTAGTCTGCGAACAACAGTGAGGGGTATTAGGTCTATAAAGAGTCGTTATATTCCGTTTGCTCTCCCATTAGTCTTGGTTTAGGAGAAGCTGTGATGTCTAAGCATATCGATAGGCTAGCAGCCACTGATTGGAGGAATGATACCAGCACTTGGAAGAAAAATGTAATACTCAACCAGTTGTTAGTTCCTCAGCGAAGAGTGTTGCTTGCAAGTGTGGCTGATTTCGAAACGGTCCTTCTCGCGTGTCTCGGCTGTTTCGAGCTGAGAATCGGCGACTTTGTAATTTACTTGAGATTTATGAAACGCTTCCATCGATGTAACGGAAATATCTGTCCATACATGTAACAAGAACCGATGATGTTACTGGAACTCTCAAAATTGTGAGGATATTTTTATGAAGGGGGTTTCAGATTGTTGGTATGTTAAACTTGGAGATAGCTCGAGGACGATTAACTGCCGTCCAAGCATCAGATCAGCTGAGGGGAGCAGTTGCGCGACTAGCACAACCAGTAGTGGAGGAGACGAGTGCTGCGGGAATAGACAATACGAGGGTAGGCAGTAGCTGAGGAAAGAGTAGTTCTATGGAGTCTACGAGAATCTAGTGAGCTCAACGCTGTACATAGCACCAGATGGGAAAGAGCATAAAATGTCCTCTTTTAACAGTATAATGATGTTGGGAGGGTTTATGTTCAAAATTTAAGGTTGATATGAGCAGCAGTTGAGGGGTTGCGGTTGCCACACGAAATTGGGCATTGAAATTGCGTGTGGTATGGTACTTCAGAAAAGGTTGTGGTAGTATGTGATACTCCGTCATTTATGTGGAATCCACGATAAGAGGGTCGAAAATATAATACCAGCTTTTTGAGACTTCTTCGGAAAATATAATACAACTGTACCACATAGAGTGTCGATGCATGGCAGGTTCGGCATGAAAACCTGTCCAATAAAAGCGAGCACAGATCCACTGAAGTGAACATACCGGACTGTCCAGATTTCACCGGCGCTATATAGAAGTATTTGCAGCTGATACGATGCCGTGATGCGATGTGTGTTTTCCTGTTCAGTACCAGTTTCTTTGTCTATATACTTCTACTTTCCTTAGGGTGCCTACCAGGCCTACTGTGTATTATGACGTTTTCGAACGATCCGATAGTAGAGACTAGTAGTAGTGTTGTGAATTTCTTGGAGTCTCGATGCGGCGTAATAGCACGCTGATATCAAATTGGGTCATAATGACTCGATGACTTAGTAATCATTTATCACGAATTCACTTGTGCTCATCAATGCGATGTGGAATATTATTCTCGATAACTTTTTCATATCATAGATGGAGCCCCATGGGAGAACTGACTCTGGATGAGTAACAGGAGTGGTGTCACACGTGACGGGGTCATTGATACCCTACTGATACGGAGCGGAAAAGGTATACATATACGAAGAGTTACTCACTACAAGGTATGTGGTACAAGCTACGACATGCCTCCTAGATGTTTTTGGTGTTCGTACGTGTGTAATACTGTAACAGAGCTACTTCGCTCGCCGACGACACAAGCTACTCCTGGGTATTATGGGTATTCCATGGACACCGCCCAGCCACATGCGATTGTCTCACGGCCGTACGGTTTCCAAGGGGTCGATTGTGGTTGTGGCCAATGCGGCCACCATTCCACGCGTCTCAATGTTAAAATCTACAATGATGATATTATAGTGAACGTATTGTTGCTAGTGATTATACTATTATCATTATAGACAACTGTATTATAGGGATGTCACTGAGGCCGTGGAGTGTAAAGATGGACTCGTTGATAGTGCAGATAATAGATCGAATATAGTTGTGGGTCACAGGAAGCTTCCTCATGTTGGGATGCTCTTTGTCGTAGCGATGTTACACTATCCAGAGCTGACTGAATCATTAGCAACTGTCGACGACAGCCTGTTGTAGACTTCACTCGGTGTTTCGCCGCTATAAACTGAACCCATCTCCGTCAAGGTCCCATGAAAAAGTGTTTAATCGAATAGTGGGCCGGGAAATAGTACTCGTACGAAGTATTAATATCGGAGTTATAGTGACGGTCCGTCACTGACGGAATAGACCGAAGATTATGATCCAAATAAAAACCCCTGTACCACGTAAGATACTCGAAATGTATCGAGCTTCAAAAATACGGACTTCGCAATTAACATCACAGATCAGAATCGAATATCGGACGTGTCACTAAGATACCTTGTAATCTCGCGAGTTCTTTACTATCTCCCAATGAGTTTGATGATGAGTATACGAAAGAGAAAAGTAGATATGATCAATCACAAATCCTCGTCTGATTGAGTGACAACTATAGCAGAGTTGTCAGGCCTCAATACGCGTGCTTATTATCGTTGCAGGCAAATACATTGAGTACGAGAATAGGGGAAAGAACCGGTTGGCAAACCAGGTCCAAAACACCACCCATAAGCAATCATCCATACTAGTCTGCTGATATTGGTTTCAAGGAGAGCCTCCTCTAGTAAGAGAGCTAGCTCAAGTTGTAGCGCGCGTAAGTGAGCATCGGGTCGCCAGGGATATCTGAGGACAGAGACGTCTAGGAATCGATGTTGGAAACTTGAGAACTAATTCTCTGCTCAAAAACACCCTCTCTCGTGAGTAGTCTCGTACAATACTCACGAGAGGATACAATTCTATGTTCTCGGCGGACAAGGGACTTACCTATAATCTTGATAAACTCCGTATTTTCATAGAGACGAATAGCAAAGTTGTTTGCGCGGTTCACCCGTAAGTAGACAACGTCCCACTTGGGATAGTCTCCAGGGAGCTGAAAGGCAAATGAGCAATGTCTTGAGTTGCTGTTTGATCAATGGCTTCATTCGAAAGCAGGAGCGAGTCTTGCTAGCCTCACATCTCTGAACACCTGTGGCAAGAGTTTCGACCCGACTTTTTTGTTTCTCCAGGCTTCCGCCACATGTACCTAAAGACTCGGATGAATTACGGCAATGTTTTCCAGCTCACATTCAGGATATAACCAATAATTCCACCCGGTCTCTTCTTGCTATGTGGTGGTCTGTAAGAGAAATGTTCGGAGGATCGAACTCACACCACCAGACCCCCCCAACGATGAAGCTCTCCCAAGCGAAGACGACTCACCTTTTGGCATCGATTGCAGCCTTGACATCAGCAGGTGTGTTTTTCCGAGGGATCAGCATCTCCACCACACCAACAACTTTCTGAGAAAAACATAGCCATCCCAGTGCTGCAACGAACTATTGATAGTCAGTTAGTTTGTTACCAGCGCTGACGGCACAATGAATTTGTTTGTTGAATGGTACAACTCGTCAGTGTTGGTTCGAAATCATTGACTAGGTCAATCCGAACAGAATCCTCGTTCAATTCAAACAAAGAGAGTGTATAACAGTGATACAGACTTCGCTTGAAAGAGGCTCGTGTGAACTCGTTAGAGTACACGGCTACCCTTCCCTAGAGTACGATTGAGATGCCGAGAATTGCCTCACTCGATCTCCACTGGTCGCTGCGACCCAACATCGGTAGTCTTCACAGTAGAAGTCTGGTCCCATGAGGGACATGTCATCTCCTTTCTGGTATTTGCGATAAACCACATCATTGAGCGAGCGCGAACCATGTTGTCTCGGCAATGGTTTCGTCAAGAGGTCTCCAGTGACCAGGATAGGCAGCCAGGAGATTAGTAGCATCATTTCTGAATAGATATTATAAGGGGTAACTAGTTAACACAAGTTGAATACCGATACGAAGGGCGCTTCGCGAACGTCCGTCTCCGTCACACACGTCACGTTGTGGACGGATATACTCGAAGTCGTGATCGGGTCGTCGATTGATACTATAGGTAGTCGATGCTAGTGACTCTGGCAACACAATCCGAAGGGTAGATACGGTTATAAGCTAATACTTAGCTGCGGTCGACAAGGTTGGCAGGGGTGCCAACAGTATTCCTCAAAAGAATCTCGAAAGACTCTAAATGCACTCGATCGTTTGACGCATGCACACGTTAGCTACGGATAAGGCTCTCGCGCTCGCTTTATACTGTCTATTCCGCACAGGCAGGGCCGCACAGGCGGACGACAGCTACGTGTGTGACGGGGACGTGACACGGGACACGTGTGACATTGCATGATATTGCACGTGTGACACGTCCATATAATGCGCGGTGCATCCCCCACACTTATTGAGAAGTTTTCCCCAGATCCAGGCCAGTTTCTCGAAGACGTGAAAATGCGTTCCAGAATCCGGAGTCCGGAGTATTAGATATTTCTTGTTCAAAAAGACCTACATTTCGTGCGGTCTACTCACGCGTGCGGACTCCGTGAATTATGAATGCTGCACGCGTGCGCAGACCGTGCAAGCGCAGAGTATCACAATGGAACTCGGATAATCGGAAAACTTTTCCGATTATCTACACTTTTTTCCTGTCGCGTTTACAATAACTATTCGTGATACTTCAGAACCCAACAGGAATAATATCAGGGGGGTAGATAAGAGAAACTGTTATTATCGACGAGCCTACAGCAGCTGCAGTCCCTCAGAATCCGGATTCAAGAGCCTGAAGTCGTGTACCTGACATGTGAAGCCATGTCATCCACCCAAGAGGCACAGGTACTACCTGTGTCTCTTGGGTGGCTGACATGGCTGGGATGCGTGTACGCAAGCGCTTGCGCATGAACATGGCGATTTTTTGGCAGCATCAAACTCCATGTCGTCTATCGAGTCGCCTAGCGCAGCATCCGCACGTTGGTAGTGGAAAAATACTTCCGAAAGGTTCATACTGGCTTTCTGTAGCCTGATCGAGAGTAACTAAACTATTCGCATGGTATCCAACACTCCCTCGAAGCCTTTTGACTGCTCACCGAGCATTCGAAGAATAACAACAGCTTCATTGGAGAACCGAC